CACCCTCAACCCCCCTCACCTCTCACCCCCCTCACCCTCTCACCCTGGCCATCGTAACCCTCGACTTGGCAATCAATCCTTCCCCTGTCAACAATCTCTGGTGAACAACACCCCCTCCTGCTAAGCAGTGAGCTTCCACAACCCGTTAACAATTTCCTTACCCTCTTCTCTCCCACCCACTGTTGCCCAAATCATGCCACTTGCAATTGTTTTCTACTTAACCTATTTCTAGGGTCATAGAATCCTACAGCACAGAAACATGCCCTTCGGTCCAACTTATCCATTCCAACCAAGTTTCCCTAACTAAACTAGTCCCACTTGCCTACGTTTGGCGTATATCCCTCTAACCGTATAAGTCCACCCTTGGTTGTTTTAACAAAATGCAATACCTCACATTTACCCAAATTAAACTCCATCTGCCAGTCCTCAGCCCCCTGGCCCAATTAATCAAGATCTCATTGTAATCTTAGATAACCTTCTTCACTGTCAACTATATCACCAATTTTGGTGTCATCTGCAAACTTACTAATCATTCTCGTCCACTCTATTCAGAGATGTTATTACACACCTTTGAAGCAGCTGGGACTTGAACCCGGGCCTCCTGGTCGAGGGTAAGGACAGGCATAGGTTAAAGGTGAGAGGGGAAAGATTTAAAAAGGACTGGGGTTAACTTTTTCCTGCAGAGGATGGTGCGTGTATGGAATGAGCTGCCAGAGGACGTGGTGGAGGCTGGTATAATTACAACTTATAAAAGGCATCTGGATGGGTATATGAAATGGAAGGATGTGCGCAGCGTGACTCCCACCATGCCACAAAGGGCCCACCCCGCCACTTGAATTCTGTTTTTATGTACCTATTTTTCTAATGAACAGGTTTCAGAGATGTTATTACACACTTATAGAGCAGGTGGGTCTTGAACCTGCGCCTCCTGGTCCAGGCATAGGGACACATCAACTGCGCCATGAGCGGGGCCTCCTAGCCACTTGAAAAACTTGGGAGTCTCAATCGGCAACCAGCCTCCTAAAATAATAAATCACTTGTCATCCTGAACTCCAAAGCAGAATCTGCCGTATTGTGTTTTAACATTTTAATAAATAATATTTTAGGGTTTGTAGACTGTGGAGAGACTGTGCACGTAGGGTCATTCGGACACGCCAAAGGCTGTCATGGATCTCTACAAGAGGCCACTCTTACGTCAATGAGGATGATAGCCATCATTTCCTGGCGAAGAAAATGCTTGTTGACCTGGAGGTAACGTTCAGTAGGCCGAGTGGCTTTCTCTGGTGCTGTTCTTACTTTATGATGTTTGCTGTAAATGATAGAAGTGTGATGGAGTGAATTCAAAATGACATGAGAAGTGATCTAAAATGCCAATTCGCCAGCATAAATTTCTGAAGTTGCAGTAGTGACTTTATTTCAACATAATGTTACTCATTGTAAAATGCTTTGGGACATTGTGTGGCTGTGAGCGTTGTGGTAGGATTGTTTTATTTTATTAGCATCTCTTGTCTTTGGATCAAATGTAACACTACATTCGAATCTTCTGGTTTTTGTATTTCAAGTTAAGATTTATAGCATTTCTTTCTGTGTTTTACCTGTATTTAAACTACTCAGGTTAGGATCAGTAGAATGCTATTTAATACTTCACACCTGCTCAGTTTAAATAAATCATGACTCTTTTGCATTTACTCACCTTTGTTCCATCATCCTTCAGCACCCTTACCCAACAGATATTTCAGCCCCAACAAGGGACGAGGATCAAGGGAAGAGGAATATTTGATCTACTCACTAATCTACTGAAGTCAAGAGTCAGTCAATTCCCTCTCTCAACTCTGCTCTCCATCTCCATTTCTTCCTTAAATCTAACTACAAAAGCCTTTGTCAATCTTCTCTTTCTTTGGCTCAGTGTCTGATTTGTTTCCCATTAGCCTCAGTGAATGTCGTGTGCCCTTCAATATGGGAGGTGTTATATTTGCATTTATCATTAAATTTATTGTCATCAATTTGCTGTCATAATTTCCAAGTTGAGGGACGAATTTGGCAAAAAGGATAACAGCGTCTTCAGTGAACCATTTGAATCAGTTGTATTTTTGGAAAAATCTGACAGGTAACTTTTTTCCCCTCATTAATGTTTGATCACATTCACCAAATTTATTGAGGTCAATTTTCCAAGTTAACAGTGAGGTGAGAAGGGCGAAATGTAAATTTGATATTTTGGCTCTTAGTCCTAGTAATAGAACCACTGCCTTACAAAACTTTCCTGCATGTGATTCTATATTCATTGATGGGATGGGGGCATTGCTGGCAGAGCCATCATTTATTGCCTATCCATGACTGCCCTCAAGAAGGTTTTAGTGATCTGCCTTTTTTAAACTGTGACCCTCTTTTGAAGCCCTCACAATGCTGTTATGGATGGGTTTGACATAGTGTCAGTGAAGAAACGACGACATCTATTCCAAATCAGGATGGTATGTGGCTTGGAGGGCAACTTGCAGGTTTCCCCATACATCTGCATCCCTTGTCCCATCGTGGTGACAAGTTTGTAAGCAGCCTTGGTAAGCTACTGCAGTGCTTCCAACGAATGGCACACCTTGCTGCCACCCTGTTGGTGGTGGTGGATGGGGCGCTATTCATACTGGCTACATTGGAGAGGTAATGGCCTCGTGGTATTATCACTAGGCTCTTAATCTGGAAAACCAGATAATGTTGTGGGGCCCTGGGTTGAAATCCCACTGTCAGATAGTATAATTTGAATTTGATTTAAAAAAAAAAAAAACCGAATTAAGAATATGATGACTCTGAAACCATTGTCAATTGTTGGAAAAACTCATCTGGCTCACTAACATACCTTAGGATAGTGTTAAACTTTTTAAGTGTTGCTGCAGCTAACCGGGCTAGTGGAGAGCATTCATTGCACTTGCTTCATGCAGATGGTGGCACTGAGGAGTCAGGATGTGAATTCCCCATTGAAGCATTCCCAGTCGCTTACCTGCTTTTGTAGCTGCAGTGCCTGGTCCAGTTCAGTTTCAACTGAACTTACCATTCCTAACAGGTGCCATCCTCAGCACAAAGTATGGGATTCATGTTGTTTTGTTATGGAACAATATATTCTGTGATTAAGATGTAGATGTATTTTAAAGCATCATATTGCTTTAATACCTCCATATCAGAGGCCAGTCAGAGTTTATTTAATGTAGGGTGAAAAGGTTTACAGATTGCAAGGAGTTTATCAATTCTTGCTCAGAGACCATAAACAGCATATTTTCAATGTAACTTTGCCATTTTGAAAAGTAATTAACACCCTCTATGAAAATCAGCAAACCCAGTTATCACCTTTACAATTTTTGGCCTTCGCTGTTTTCAATTTCAGATTATCTCATATATGGCTGTCAATATACGACGATGTCGGAAGGACCAGCTGTAAGCAATCGTGATTGAATTTTAATTATTATTAGTTGAGGAAAATAGCTGGATGGCCTTGTGTGTCTGTTGTTTCCATAGTCTGAATGACCCTTGACCCATTCTGACACTGCACTGCTTCACCCAAACTGGCAAGATCTGAAATCCAGCACATAACTTGTCCAGATGTCGTTGCTTTAAGGACATTTTACCTGTACTTACTCTGCTAAAATAAAAGCATTTTTGCATTATTCTTTTGTCTTCTCACTGTGTTCATAGACCATTTCCTGTTGAATAGTGTGTTTTCATTGATTCTCTGACTCTCTTTTTCTCTCTCTTTCCCTTGAATAGGAAGTGTATGTGCTGCCAGAGATAGTACTTTACATGGCCGGCACTGATACTTTCAGCACACAGAGTTCTAACAGGCGGAAGAAAGGTGAAATGCAGTACTTTGGATATAAATGTCTTTAAAATTATTTTTTATATTTAAAATTTAAGTTAAGCAGTATAAGTAACACAATTGTTTTAATTGAATTAACAACTAATTTGTGTTATGATCTGTGACTTGATCAGTTACCCAGATTTATTTTTAATTTGGGGTTCTAGGTTATGCTCCATGTGACTTTCCTGTCACCTTTTTCCATCTAATCCTATAAAGTTCCTTCTATTCGTTTCTCCCTCATATTTAACAAGCTTCCCCTCAAACACACTTGCTCTTTTTGCCTCAACTATTCCTTATGCTGGTGAGTTTCAGATTTTCACCATCCTGGGTTTTAAAAAATCTGATCTTAAAAACTAATGGCAATTCTTCTTTCAATGCAAAATCAGACACTGTGTGTGTCACTCCCTACTAATACCCATTTACTCAATCCAACGCTTTAAAGCTGTGCTTCCTCACAATTTTATTCATGGAATGATAGTGCTGAACAACAATAAACAATCTCATGCTGAAGAAAAATCTCATTATTGCATTCTCTAAATTTGTACCTAATGAAAGCTGAGAAATTAAACTTTGAAAATAGTTTCTTAAAATCTGTCTTCATACTTCCAAACCAAGTTGGGGTGGCACAGTGGCTCAGTGGTTAGCAGTTTTGCCTCACAGCGCCAGGGACCCGGCTCCGATTCCAGCCTTGGGCAACTGTCTCTGTGCAGTTTGCACATTCTCCCTGTGCCTATGTGAGTTTCCTCTGGGTCCTCCGGTATCCTCCCGCAGTTCAAATATGTGCAGTATGGGTGGATTGACCATGGAGAATGCAGCGTTACAGGGATGGGTTAGGGAGTGGGTCTGGGTGGGATGCTTTTCGGGGGATCGATGCGGACTTGACAGGCCGAATGGCCTGCTTCCACACAGTAGGGATTGTATAGTTCTAATTATGTGCGTTTTTAAGATTTATGGCAGTTTCATGCTATTGGATCCTTTTACAGTTTATTTCTTCTCCCTGCTATCTTATACAGGTATAATGCCAAATAGTTTAGTTGTTATTTTCACTACCATTTGCCATTGTCTCCATTTATGTTCTGTATTTGTATGGATATATACATTAGACCTTAACTAATACTTTGTTGCCTTCTTTTTGACTTTGAATGTTACAGAGAGAAGGGATGGGTTGTCGAAGAGAAGCAAAGCGGCAGAAATGGCAGCAAAATTGGAAAATCTTTTGCCTTCGGAGTGCAAAACTTTGGGGGTCAGTTCCCCTGGAATTGTCTGTAAGTTGTCTGTATGTCCTGACATTTGTATGTTTGAACAAGGTGAAGTGGACTGGATTGAAACTTTGAAAAGATTCAATGTTAGAATCCTTATGGGGGAAACTATATTAAAATTCCATCAGTATCATTCTCCTCTATGTGAGGGATCTGCTGTGATGTCAGTCACAGGTTGCTCGTTGTTACTACACTTGCATGTTTTGTCTGCATTAGGAGTGTTCCTCTATGTCTGGGAGCCACACTTTCGCAAAGATGAAAAGGCATGTGGCGGCAGAAAAGATTTAAGATAGGTCCAGAAATGAGATATTTCAGTTAAATTGAAGAAGCTAGGACTGATCTTAGAAGTTTGAGAGGAGACCTGGGGATGTTCTTGAGCATGGGAAACAAATCAAAAACCAGAGACAAAAATTTAAAGTGAATGATGAAAGAACAAAAGGAGATGAGGGGCAATGAAACCAGAAATCAGTGGAAAATCTGAGCAGGTCCCTGGCAGTAACTGCTCACAGAAATCAGAGTTAATAATATTTCGGGCTCAGTACCCTTCCTCAGAACTGATGGTAGCTAGGAAAATGTTGGTTTTTATGGATAAGGTAGAGTGGGGAGAGGGTGTAAGGAGTAAATGATAAGTGGAGATAACAGCCCAAACAAAGAGAGAAAGGAGTGGATAATGGTCAGCCTAGAAGAACGAATGGCTGCGAATGGGACTATTAGTGGCTATCAATGGATAGTGCGTAATAGCAGACTATGTGATAACAAGGCCTGGTGTGTGGGGATTGGGGTAAGAACATGAAAAAGGAAGCACATGTAAGGCCTAGGAGGATGGAGACTGGTGAAGCCCTTGAAGTATATAAGGAAAGTAGGAAAGAACTTAAACAAGGAATTAGAAAGACGAAAAGGGGCATGAAAGGTCGTTAGCAAACAAGATGAAGGAGAATCCTGAGGCTTTTTATACATATATAAAAAGCGAGAGGGTAACCAGGGAAAGGGTTGCCCACTCAAGGACAAAGGAGGGAATCTGTGCTTGGGGCCAGAAGAAGTAGGTGAGGTCCTAACCAAATATAAAGTCGGTGGTAGGGAAAAGATTCTCGGGGACAAGATGTACACGCTTTTAGAAGCAAATGGGCTTATTAGCGATAGACAGCAAGGTCCCTCATGGCAGACTGGTACAAAAGGTGAAATTACATGGTATCACAGTTGAACTGGCAAGATGGTTACAGAACTGGCCTGGGCAGTGGAAAGATGCTTTTTGGAATAGAGGATCGTGACGAGTGGTGTTACACAGGGATCAATGCTGGGACCTCTGCTGTTCATAATCTACAGAAAGAATTTGGAGGAAAACGTAGCTGGCCTAATTAGTAAGTTTGCAGACGATATAAAGATTGGTGGAATTGCGGATAGTGAGGAGACGTTTCAGAGGATACAGCAGGGTGTAGTTCAGTTGCAGGCATGGACAGAAAAATGGCAGATGGAGTTTAATCCAGACAACCATGAGGTGGTACGTGTTTGAAGATCAAGTACAGATGGAAATTGTGCAATGAATGGCAGAACACTTAGGAGCATTGATGTGCAGGTCCACAGATCGCTGAAGGTGGCGCGCAGGTAGATAAGGTAGTAAAAAAAGACTTGTGGCATGCTTGCCTTCGTTGGAAGGGGCATTGAGTATAAGGATAGACAAGTTATGCTGCAGCTTTATAGAACTTTAGTTAGGCCACACTTGGAATATTACATACAGTTCTGGTCACCACACTATCAGAAGGATGTGGATGCTTTGGAGAGGGTACAGAAAACGTTTGCCAGGATGTTGCCTGGTATGGGGGATTTTAGCTATGAAGAAAGGTTGGGTAGACTGGGCTTGTTTTCACTGGACCACAGGAGGTTGAGGGGCGACTTAATAGAAGCTTATAAGATTTTGAATGGCATGGATGGAGTAGAAAGTGTGAGGCTTTTTCCCAGGGTGGAGAGGTCAATTACTAGGGGACACAAGTTCAAGGTGTGAGGGGGAAAGTTTAAAAGAGATGTGCGCGGCAAGGTAAGTATTTCACACAAAGGGTGGTGAGAGCCTGGAACACACTGCCAGAGGAAGTGGTGGAAGCAGACACAATAGCAGCATTTAAGAAGTATTTGGACAAATACATGAATAGGAAGTGAATAGATGGATACAGATCCTGTAAGTGAAGACAGTTTTAGTATGGAAGGGCAAAATGTGTTGGCGCAGGCTGAGAGGGCTGAAGGGCCTGTTCTTGTGCTGTATTGTTCTTTGTTCTTTGTATGGGAGAAGGTGCCTTATGTCCTAAAATTGTTGAACCCGATATTGGGCCAGAAGGCTGCAGAGTTCCCAAGCAGAAAATGAGGTGTTGTTCTTCTAGCTTGCGCTAAAGCACTACAGCAAACCTGAAATAGAGATGTTGGCTAGGGAACAAGGTAATGTGTTGAAGTGGCAGGCAACTGGAAGCTCAGGGTCTTTTTTGCAGACAGAACGTAGGTGTTCTGTGAAGCGGTCATCCAGCCTAAGCTTCATTTCCCCCATGTAGAGGAGACTACATTGTGAGCTGCGAATACAGTAGACTAGATTGAATGAAGTGTGCAGGTAAAGCGTTGCTTCACCTAGAAGGCGTGTTTGGGCCCTTAGATACGGAGAGAGGAGGAAGTGAATGGGCAGATGTTACACTTTCTGCAGTTGCAGGGAAAGGTGCCGTGGGGCTTTGGAAGGGTGTTGATAGTGAAGGAAGAGTCAACCAGGGTGTCCTGGAGTTAACAGTCCTTTTGGAAGGCTGACAAGGAATTGGGGGGGTGGAAAATATATGTCTGGTGGTGGAAACTGGAAGGAAAATTGATAAATTTTTCCAATTCTGAACGAGAGAGGGAAACACACCAATGATATCATTGTTACACGGAAGAAAGAGTTGTTGGGGGGTGCTGGATTAGGATTGGAACAAAGAATGTTCCACGTGCCCCACAAAGAGACAGGCATAGGTGGGGCCCATGCGGTACCCGTGACCACTTCTCCTTCACTCCCGATACCCCCATACAACCCCACGGTACATGGCAGTGCTGCTGGCAGTAATTTTTGTCCTTGTTGGCACCAATGCAGCTATGTCAGCACCCAGTCCTGGCCACCAGACATAACATCTTGCAAACCCCCTGGATGATCCTGATGGAATTCAGCCGGTATCTGGCAGTGACTTTTACTCAGGAAAATCACTCTTGCTCCCCATAGTAATATGCCATCCTCTCTGGTGATCTGGTCTTGCCAGGTTCAAAAAGGTTTCATTCCTGGTTGTGATGGCCCTTTTGTTTCCCCCTTAACCACCAGCTGTTTTAGTTTTGCCAAGACAGTATCTTTTAGTGTCCACAGTCAGATATTGTCAACAGTGGTGGGAAGGATGTCCAGAAAGTTTAAAATTGGAACGGACTCATCCAGGGGAATCAGCACCGGTGGTGTATCTGTCAGTGAGGGCTGACTCAAGGCATCCTGTGGTACACGTGGGAGCCAGGGCACCTTCAATTGCCCTCACTTTATCTTCCAACAGGTGTAACCAGTCTTGTCGACTCTGCAACCCAAGTAGGTCACTTGGGGCACCGGGAACGCACATTGCTCCCTTCTAAGATGTAAGCCCGCCTGGGAGAAACGTTTAAGCACTATGTCCAAGTGCTCTTTATTAGACTTCCAGGTTATTAGCACGTCACTCAAGTAAGTAGTGACCTGGGTTAGACCTTGTAAAATGTTCTCCATTGTCTGCTGCAAAAGTGCGCAGACCGATGATACTCCAAATGGCAGTCTTGTATATTAATACAAACCCTTATTTGATTTAATTGTGACATACTTCTGGGACCCCTCATCTAGCCACAATTGCAGGAACACATGGCTCATTTTGAGCTTTTTGAAGAACAGTCCCCCACCCCCCCCACCCCCCTCCCCCCCCCCTCCCACCCCCGGCGCCAGTTTTGCGTACAAGTCCTCTATGCGTGGGATTGGGAATTTATCCAGCCACAAGAAGCAGTTTACCGTTTGCTTAAAATCCCTGTAAAGGGGAACTGAGCCATCAGGCCTCACAATCTGTATGACTAGTGTTGTCTGTTCCACAAACTGTAGTGGTTTGATGATTCCTTTGTTTTCCAGCCTCCTGATTTCCGCTTCTACTTTTGCCCATAAGGCAAATGGCACTGGGCAGACTTGCAGAATCGCAGAATTGTTTCCTGGTCAACATGAGCTCTCACCAGCCTGCTCAGAGCCACTCTGTAGAATGAGGAGACTCTCTGAATCTCCTGTTTATTATTTTTTCCTTTTTTTTTGTTATCCCCACACTATGCTATATAGCAGTAGTGCTTATTTTTCCCCGCACAGCACCCATGTGTGTGTGTGTGTAAGTATAGGGATTCAGTGAAAACACCATTTGTGCAAATAATTTTATTCAATATTTACAGCACCAGGAAAAACACCAATGTGGCCAGGGAACCAGTAACAATCTCCTATTTATATATGTCAGCCAGCACTCTCTGATTGGGGTTGTTAAACTGGGCAAATCAAGGATCTCATACTCAATGAGATCCACCTGGTGCTCATTCCAATCACTACAGTGTGGCTTTCAAAATGGGATTGGATAATTATCTGTAGAGATACAAGTTTGCAGGTATATGGAGAAAGGACGAGGGAATGGGGCTAACTAAGTTGCCCTTGCAGAGTGCTGTTTTTGACAGGATGGGCTGAATGGCCTCCTTTGCTGCAACCATTCTATGATCACGTCATGTGTGCCAAGAAAGCGAATGCCATCTGGCTGTTCAGTTGTTGGAACGGCAAACAAACTGAATTTGATTCTGTCCTCTGCCAGCATGCTTGTGCATTCTTTTTAGCAGAAACTTCTAGTTTGCCCTTTAGTGACAGGATCCTTAGCTAATTTTTGTTTCCCAAGCATGCTTTGCAGAGCAGTACACCAAACTTTGCACCTTTTAGTGGGGCATGATGGTGCATGTTTTATCAAACCCATATTAGTTTCTCATGTAAACTGTGTTGAAAGTTTTATGATCTGCAATAAAACCTCCTGCACATTGGGAGTTTTGAAGACCTTGAGCCTGTCCAACCTGCTTGTTCGCCAAATGAATGTAAAATCCAGGACTTATTCAGGGTGATTGGACTTGGTATAAAAATACTTTTTGCATAATTTGAATATTTGACTGGACAATATTTACAGCTTTGTATTTTCATGGAAGGTATAGATTATCCAATCCGTGCCTCAAGGAGAGAAAAGGTTTCAATAAATTGTTACCTTGTGATCATTAGTAGGTTCTGATACTCAGTAGATGGACTGCGTAATTGGAATGGAAATGTGGAACTGCACTCAGTATGGTGGTGATAGCACATGATAGTTGGTTATCTGCCATTTGAGCATGAGCACATTGTTTCAATGCACATCTCACCAGATTCTGATCTGTAAAAGAAAAGAGGTTAAGTTTTCAGTTGTGCCATCCAGTCTTTCATGGAGCAATTTCCCAAAAGTTAAATGGCTTAGCAACTCGGTGCTGACAAACTTTGGATATTTTCCTTGAACTGGACTCCAACATGATAATCTCCCTAACTTGGAAAGATAGGTCTGTTCCCATGTGTTCTCTAATTTGAGGTGGGAAACTTGACGTTCTGTTTATGCTGTTCAGTTTCACAGCCCAACTTAAACACAATTATCTTCAGTATCTGTGTTTCAGACAAGCTGTCAAAGTGATGAACTAAATTGCTGACATTTATAATAGGGATATGTTATTAGACAGTCGAATGTAATTGAACATTTTATGAAATTTCAGGCAAGTAAAAGCATTTTATGGAAATGGAAGTATTTTGAGGTGGCAAATGGGTTATACTAGTAATATTATTGAGAGTTCTGTACTTCGGATTAAATGTCAGTAATAATATTTTACAAGTAATTGTCCATTGTTTTGCCCGTGCTCAGTTGATGCACACATTTTTTGTGTGAAAAGTTGGCAATAGAAATTTCAGAAACCCAGTGGCCAGAGCCTACATTTTCTGTCATTGTTTATACACAGGGTTTCCATTCTAAATGTTTACAGAGGCAGTTTCAATGTTAAATATTGACCTAAAAGCATGACCAAAGGTTGATCTTTTCTCTAAAGAAAATACTTTATTCCCTCAGATTTTGTAACTTCGAATTTATCACTTCGTTAACGATTTGTTTTTTCAGACACGCCTATGGGATGTGGCACACAGAGACCTCTTGAGGTAGAAGATGGAATTGCAGGGTTTGCCCTGCTCCTGCCCAAAATCGACGGAGTGACAGTCAAATTCTTTCACCTGTCGAACAAAGATTTGAACAATAACGTGTTCCATCAGGAAAAACTGCAAGAAGCAGGCAAGTTTTCTTCCTGATCTCCCCTCATCCACTGTTGGGATAAGTGTAAAATTGTGTTGGAAAAATTGAGAGCTTGTTCAACCTCTTGTGTACTGAGGGAATTGAGGTTTTATGGGCAACCGGTGAGAGAGTGAAGTTGCGATGGAAGATTGCCCATGATTGTATTGTATGGCAGAATGGGCATGAAGGGCTGTATGACCTATGTCTACTCCTCTTTAATTATCATGAGGTAAAAGGAGATATTTTATGCTCTAAGGATGGTTTCTACAGTTAAAGTGCTGTTAGCAAAGATCATGGATTTTGTTCAAGTCAATAATTGAATAGTTAACAAGGATGTAAAACTTCTTAAAACAAAAAGTACTTAAGAATTTAGTTTTGGAAATCCTTACTAACTAATAAAAAGTTGCTAACTAAAAAGAATTATTTTCAATCAACCTGTCCAGAGATGTGTCATAAACATGTCTGCGACAAGTGGAAATTGAAGTCAGATCTTCTGGCACAGAGGTAGAGACACTTGCCTGGGGTTCTGACTGCTGCCAGATCTGCTGATTTTGTCCAGCTTTCCCAGTGTTTGCTATGGATTTCTACACCACAAGAGTCCCTGAGAACACAGTCTAATTTGACAATAATTGAATGTGCTGAATGCATTGGATTTCATTTATTGGTAAGGAGCTTTGATTGTTGTTTGGTAACTGGAAGTTGACTTCAGTTTGTGGGCCAGAAATTCCAACTTTAGTGAGTACATCTGTATTGTCTTGTATCATGGTGGGTTAGCTGAAGGATGGGCTCATTGCTTGGTTGGAGAATTCCAGTTGCAATGCACTTGCAAACATAAGAACAATAAAAAGATGCAGATATAGATCACACAGTCCTTTGAGCCCATTCTACTATTCATTCAGATCGTGGCTAACCTTTTATCTCAGCTTTGCACTTACCAGATCCCCATAATTCTCCAATTCCCTTTAGCCAAGGAAAATGATCACTCCGTTTTGAATATAGTCAATGGCTGAGCAGCCAAAGTCTTTGAGATGAGCTAATAGTTTGCAACTGATGGAGTGAGAAGGTTTATCCCTATCGCAGGGCTCATCCCTGTATCCTTTGACTATGACCTGCAACTCAGGATATGAAATTTTTAAGCTTCATTTTTGGCAAAAGAAGTAGTGGGAACCTGAAGGAAAGCATTTCTTTTTTTAACCCAGTGGATGGTTAAGATCTGGAATGCACTGCCTAAGAACGTGGTGGAAACAGCTCAAATCGAGACCTTCAAAGAGGAGTTGGGTTATTATCCAAAATTGGGGGGTGGAGGGAAACCATACTTGGGGAAGAAGTGGAGAAGTGGGACTAGGTGAGTTGTTTTTATAGAGATGGGCTGAATGGCCTCACTCTGCTCTAACCATTCAGTTATTCACCTTTGTCAATGTTTGCCAAAACATTTATTGATTTTAATTTTCAATTTATGTTGTGAACTTTTCAAAAATTTTGTAATTTGTTTGCAGGGTTAATAAAAGCATATTACATCTCATTGTTCTAGCTACTACAAGATTTAAGATTCTTGTAATTAAACTTGTAATTTAACGTTTGAACTGCTGTCACATTTTACTCACTGTATACTTGAGCTTAGTGTGTGTGCTTTACTTGCACAGTGGGTGGCTGGAAGGGAGAGAGACTATTGGAATATTTAGGCTGCTTTGGATCCACTTTGACTGCAGCAAATCATCCATCATTGAAATGAGGCTTCTGTTTCCTGCCAGCATGGCTTGTGAAGCTCTCCACAAGGAACTTTCACAGCAAGGGTATTTCCAAATAAAGATGTTACAGTTTAAACAGAGGAGGCATGTTATTGCTAAGAGCAAGAAATCCTGGAATGGAAGTTGGTTTTAGCAATGGATCTAAGGACTTAAAAGCCTTGTTGACTGTACATGTGATAGCGAGCAAGCGGATGTAAAATTTGACCATATCCAATTGTATACAGATTGACTACAATCCATATAGCACTGTAAAATGGACGTAAAGATAGTAATTCTAAATTAATTGACTAAGTATTATCTGTTAAATATCCACCTGGCAAAGGAAGAAGCAAGAGCTGGTCTGTCTTCTCCATGGTTTGTTTATTCAGAATTGTCTGTACAGCGTAAGTGCAGACTGCTTTTCTGTCCACACACCAGCAACCTCCCAGCTGGAGTTGTGTTCTTTTGTTTTTAATCAGCAGGTTTGAATGTGTTTTGATATGCCTTCTGGGTGTCATATCCTGAAGTGCAACACTACCACTGTGTCACAAGATCCCAGGAAAACTGTGCTAATATATGCATCCTAAGTTTTCCAAGTCTCAGCTGTTCATGTATGTGCTCAATGGACCAGCATTTTCAGCATTTGCATTATCTTTTACTTAAATAACATCCAAGATTGACCTGGACATGCAGCTTGTTGCTGTACTTACCCCGAGTATTAGAACAAATACTCCTTTTAGATTTTCACTTATGAGTTCTGTATTCCTTCTTGAGCGAAGTTACAAAGCATTTCACTAGGCAATGGTGTCCAGAAATTGGATCAAAAGTGGGAAAACAGAGATGAGTTGCGGATCATTAGTGATCAGATGGCATGGTGCTAGAGGCCCGCATGGTGTTGTGTCCTGCTTCAGGATGTGATGCCCAGAGGCATATCAAAGCACATCCAAACCACCGGATTAAAAATAAAAGAACCCAATTCCAACTGGGAGGATGCTGGTGCGTGGTGGGAAAAGCAGTTTGCACTTCTGATGTAATAAAAGGCACACCCCTTTTGTGGGTTTCCAAGGCAGGGTCAAGGACTGCTTTGAGAGAAGGTGCTGTTTTAGGCTGACTCCCACCTGATACCTGTGTGTGTAACATTTCCAGCAAAAGATTGCACTTAGAAGCACAGCTGTTGCTGACTTATGTGACTTAATTCTGGGTATTGGAGCTCATTGTAACCTGCTTTTTGCCACTGAATGAACAACTTTGGTTTGCATACGTATAGAGGAATCTAGATGCATCATTTTATAGCAAGCTTGTTTAATAATTGACCCTCTTCCGCATCCTTTTGCAAAGAGTAGTTACTCATAACCCCAAAGCAGCAATTACAACAAATCAGCTATGATATCCCTGTTGCAAAAATTGTTCCTATGTCTGATTTCCATTCATAATACGTTTAAATGGATCTAATTGCATTTGTGTCTCAGAGAATGATAGCTAGTAGTATGCAAATACAGAACAAAATTTCATAAAGACTCTGTATAATAAGTGCTGGTGGTTGAGCGTGTAGCCCATTTACTGGATTTTGACAGACTTAATGTGGAAAACTCCAATTTATTAGCAAGCTCTTTTGCTTTGCCTTCCAGACATTACACAGACTGGCTCGTGACCTTATGAAGCCTGCATTTTTGATCCTGCCTAGATGGCAGGTTTAAGGCACCTTGCACTTTGCTGTCTTAACTGCTGTTAAATGTATTAAGTGGAGTATTTGGACAGTTTTAAATTAATCCCTACGACCTGTTTTATCAATGTTGCATCTACCCCACAACTGATTTGACAGTCTAGATTTGTAATATAATGTAATCAAGTATTTTGACAAACAAGGTCAAACTGCTTTTCCAGTTCTCTTGGGTTACAGTGTAGCAGGAGGCCATTTGGCCCATTTACTCTCCAAATAAGCAAATCAGTTAATACCAAACCCTGTAAGCTAACATGTTCTTCCTTTCCAGATAACTGTCTAATTCCCTTTTAAGTGCTTCAGTCTCCAGTACACACTCAGTGCATTCCAGATCTTAACCACTTGCTACAGGAAACCACTTTTCTTCACGTCACTCTTGCTTCTTTTGTAGTTACTTTAAATCTTTCTCATTTCTGATTCTTTCAGTACTGTGAACAGCTTCTACTTATTCACTTGTCTTGACCGTAATTTTGAATATCTTCTTGGGCTTCTTTTCTCTCGGGAATATAGTCCTAACCTCCCCAATCTATCTTCATAACTGAGGTTCCACATCTTTGGAAATATTCTTGTTGATCCTTTTGCACCCTTTCCTAGGCCTTCTCATCCTTCTTAAAGCCCAGGCTGGACACAGTGACTTACTGAGGCCCAACTAATATTTAAGACAAGTTCAACATAACCTCTTTTCTCTTGGATCTTTTACCTTCATTAATTATTCTCTCGACCTGTCCTGCCAATTCAAAGACCTACGTATATGCATCCAGATCAGGCAGCAATGCCCACTCTAAGCTTCTGGCTTTTTTAAAATTTATTCGTTTTGTGGGGTGTGGGCATCGCTGACTGGTCAGCATTTATTGCCCATTTCTAGTTGCCCTTAAGAAGGTGCTGGTGAGCTGCCTTCTTGAACTGCAGCATTCCACCTGCTGTAGGTTGACCCACAGTGCCACTAGGGAGGGAATTCCAGGATTTTGACCCAGCGACGGTGAGGGATTTGTGGTATATTTCCAAGTCAGGATGGTGAGTGACTTGGAGAAGAACTTGCAGGGGGTGGTGTTCCCATATATCTGCTGTGCTTGTCCTTCTAGATAAAAGTGGTCGTGAGTTTGGAAGGTGCTATCTTTGGTGAATTTCTGCAGTGCATCTTGTAATGATACACGCAGCTGCTACTCAGCGTCAGTGGTGGACAGCTAGGTATTAGTGCCCTGCTTTTGTGAAGGAGAGAAAACATACCATCTTAGGTCTTTGGGAAACATGTTGTTGCTTTATGTCAGTGAATTACTTTTTATTTTTGTTTGTGGGTTGGTGGTGTGGGGCTGTTGCAATTTTTATCCTCCTCTGTAACTGGAGTTCCGAGGAAGAGTCACTGGACCTGAAACATTAACTTTGATTTCTCTCCACAGATGTTGCCAGACCTGCTGAGCTTTTCCTGCAACTTCAGTTTTTGTTTCTGATTTCCAACATCCGCAGTTCTTTTGGTTTTTGTAGATTTGAAATATTGAGTTGACAGCAGTGGGAGCTGGCATAAAAGAAGTGTTGAGGCCTAGAGCAGATCAGCCATGATGTATTTCCAAGCTAGGTTACTGTGACGTTAAGGTGATGGTATGCTTTTGATTTTGCTACGCTTGTCCTTTTGCATGGTAACATTGGAAGGATTTGGAGATGTCCTGCTTTTCAGTGGAGGAGTTGTTTTATAGGCAGAGATGACTGCCATTTGGAATTCCAAGTTGCATAGCTTCTTAATCTTTCACAGTTTTCTCTTTCTTTTTAAAAGCTATTTGGTATCTGATCTGTTACCACTGGATGGTGCTGCGTTAAAGCTTTGTGTTGTGTTGTTCAGTGCCTAAACTGAGAATTATTGCATAGGATCTACAGTGAAACTCTGGAAAAGATTCAATCAACATTAGAGCTCGTTTCAGTATAGTCGTCCATTACAGTGCTTTCCACTAGAAAAGTTCAGGGACTAGAATGAATACAGTGATATTGCTCGGTGATTGATTTTGGTGGGATTTCGATTATGTAGAAAATTTGTGTCAAAATTGACTCCTATGAAGGTTGTTGACTGTGTCCTGTACAGGGCTTCGTCACATCTTTTAAAACCTTTTCACAAATGATGAATAGCTATGAAGTGCATTCGTGGTTACGTAGACACATTTGGCAGCCAGTTGAAATTTTATTCATAAAGGATAAGAAAGTGGAATCCCTATTGTTGTATCTAGTGAAAATGAAATGAAAAGGACATATATGCTAATATCGTCTTCAAACTGCTTGTATATGAGCCATTGCTAGCATCTTTTCATTTGATGATATATAAAGATAATGAGTTCCCTGTTGGAAATAATTCCAGATTTACTTTTATTGTTGATATGCCTGTAAGAAAATCTGTCCCAGATCCAGGGTACATTGAGAAAGGCACAGCTTTGTTATTCTTTTTTCTTCCTCTCTCAGGTCTTCAGGATAACCCTGACTTGCGTGTCGTCTTCCTATTTGGATACAACACCTTTAAACCTGCAGCTGCCGACTTCATTCAGCGTCTCACAAAACCATTCAATGTGAGCAACACTGTTGTTATTGGGGGCCACGTTGACCAAGTGGTTTCGCCTAGTTCTGAAAGGTAGGTGCCTGTATGAATGAGTCTTTATGTGAACATGTATCTTGTTAACACTGGGGAGAAATGCTTCTGTGCTTTCTTCCCACAATTAATTCATTCCATGACACTGAATGATTTATCTGTCCATCAAGCTGATTCCCTGCAGTATAATTAAGCTCTACTCTACCACGTTGCCGTGTAACTGCATGCTCCCAGATTGCAGTAAAAATTTGCAAATCAGCTCCCCCGAAGGCCCAGAGGTAAATGCACTACTTGAAGTGTTAGTGAGCCCTGGAGATCATGGAAGTCTCAGATTTGTCCCATGTTCTGTGCTGAACTAGCTGTTCTTGAGGAGGAAGGTTACTCATTGTCTTCAGCAGAGACAGAGATAATGTCGTCCAGGATTCCTGCATTATTTCATGAACTATTGTTAGAAGTGCTTTTCTGCACACAGGGAATGCTGAGAAAGCAGTTAACAAGGCACACAAAATCCTTGACTTCATTATTAGAAGTGTTGAGTATAAAAGCAAAGAAGTTATCGTGAATCTTTATAAACAATTGATGTGTTCTCAACTGAAGTATTGTATCCAATTTGGGCACCACAATTAAGGAAGGATATGAGAGTTTTAGAAAGGGTGCAGAAATTATTTGCAAGCATTATTCCAGGAATGAGGGCCTTCAGTTACATGGATTTGTTGGAGAAGCTGGAGTTGTTCTAATTAAAAAAGAGAAGGTTGAGATGAAATTTGAAAAGACAAGCTGAAAATTCTTCCAAAGTTAGCAGAGAGTACATAAGAAGAAACTTCCTATTGATGGTAGGGTCGAGACCCAGAGGTTAAAGATTTATAGCAGTTGGCAAAAGGATCAAAGGTGACATGAAGGGAAAGCTGTTCACATTTGATTACAAACAGAAACACACTGCCGGAAGTATTGGAGCCTGATTCATTCACGCTTTTCAAAACAAGTTGGGAAAATGCCTGAAGTCAAGAAACTTGCAGGAAATGGGATTTGTATAAATTGCTGTTGCAGAGAGCTGGAATGACCTCGATGGCCCAAATGATGCCCTATTCTATAACCATTTTATATGTTATGACTAACTGAGGTGGTTTAGCAGAAATATAAGAAATTTCAGGTCCTTAGCATCTGCAGTAAGTGAAATACGTTGTTTTAAAAAATAAGTAAACTGAGACAGATGTCATATAAGGAGATGTGCTGATTAAGAACTTCCTTATTTCACTATCCAAGTCATTCAATTGAAACAATCTTTGCGAGTGACTAAATTATGAGAATTTGATCGGACATCTATGGTCCCCTTTCAGCCCTCAATGATTTGATGTTGCAGTCTTACAACCTTGACAATCTCATGAAGTTAAAGATGGATTAGTGCATAAGGACCAAATATATTGGAAAAACACCTGTATTTATTGATGCAAAAGCAAAATATTCTGCAGATGCTGGGAATCCAAACAAAAACAAAAGCCTTTTGGTGTACAGGGCAGATCAGTTGGCATCACTCCAGAGAGAAACACAGTTAACATTTCACATTGATTAGCTTTCAGAATTTGTATATACATTTTTCTCTATCTTTTATCACATAGTTCAAATGTCCTGTGATGCTTTGACAATAGCTGAAGTAGGACAGGGCTGTTGCACATAGGCAAAAGTGGAAGGCATTCTGCGCAACAACGCCTCATCAGGGTAAGACAGTCTTAGAGTCATACAGCACGGAAACAGACTCTTTGGTCCAACCAGTCCATGCCCACCATAATCCCAAACTAAACGAGTCCCATCTGCCTGCTCCTAGCCCATATCCCTCCAAACCTTTCCTATTTGTGTACTTATCCAAATGTCTTTTAAACACTGTAATTGTGCCCACACCTACCATTTCCTGAGGAAGTTAATTCCACACACGAACCACCCTCTGTGTTAAAAATTTGCCCCTCATGTCTTTTTTAAATGTCTCCTCTCACCTTTAAAAATGTGCCCCCTAGTCTTGAAATCCCCCATCCTAGGGAAAAGATATCTGCCATTAACCCTATTATACCCCTTATGATTTTTTAAACCTCTGTATGGTCACCTCTCAACTTCCCACGCTCAAGTGAAATAAGTCCCAGCCTCTCCAGCCTTTCTTTATTACTCAAACCTTCCACACACGGCAACATGCTGGTAAATCTATTCTGACACTCTCCAGATTAATAATATCCTTCCTATAACTCTTGCCTGTGGTGACTTTTTTTTGCAGGAGGAGCAGCTGAGAGAACCCCATAGTGTTTCTTAAAACAGACAGAGTGCTCCGACTGCCTGTCACATCCAAAGCTTAATGTACGCAATGTGCTGGCATTGACCCTGGTATTTCCTTAATGTCCAAGCTGAGTGAAAAATTTTCCACGTGTATACAGAAACAATCCTTGAAAGTAGATACAGCGGAGAATTCAATATTGGAATGACTACTTTGGCACAGTTGATGGAAGTTGGTTGAATTGTTTCGGTGCATTTGTGTGATTGACTGTTCTTGTCAGTCAGAATGAATGTGCCTGCTTCCTGTGTTCTTTTGATTAAAGTGATAATCTGCCCTTGTCTACTCACTAGTAAATCGTCAACATTAAAAAAAGACTTCACTGTGTTTTGAACTTGCATCTTAGAGGAGGAAAGCCTTAATGGCATTCGTTTCAGTACAAATCGCTTTCCTATCCAATCCTTATCATTTCAAAAGATATGTTTCTCATTTCCTGTGGGTAGTGCCATCATCATTTTTTGCATCGATTGCCAGTTAGAGTGTAAAGTGAGTCAATGCTGTAAGGACGAAGAAATCCCAGGTGATGAAACAAGTTGTAGGATACAGTACCGGGTAGCACCTAGTCAAAGATATGAAGGATCAAAGAGAGGTAAAACTTGGACGATAAATTACAGACTCAACAATAAGTAGCGAAGTGTATTTGTCTTCCTAATTAGAAATCCACTACTAGAATTGCCTTAGAACTTCCACATTTCAGAGCCATATGTTCGAGTGATTTTGTTCACAGGTTGTTAATCATTGGAGAGTCATGCTGTTGGTTTATTTTAGTTTGTGGCCCACCTGGGCTCAGCTGTAAATGTTTTTTTTTAATCCAATTTACAAATTCTACAGAATTAACTCCCATGGAGAGAAGGAAAGCATTTAATTATAATTCAGTCCTCTTACCTGTCCATTACTGAGGTGACTAAATTAAACAAGTAACTTAAAACGTAAAATGGATCTTAAAGTTGTTTTCTGCCACCTGGTTTGTTCTTATGAATTTTACGCTGATTGAGGTGAGAGATGTTCAGCGGAATGAGATGTTAAACTTTAGGATTAAGTCCAGTTAGGTGTAATTTAGATTCAAATAATTCTCCCTATTTTCCCCAAACATTGGGTCTTAACCTTAAAAGAGTCCTACTTGTTCCACTAGTGGGCTTTATCCAGTCAGGATGGTTTTGCACTGCTATCCAATTTATGAAGATATTACAATCTTGTTTAAAGTTAGACTTTTGCAGCTAACAGATAAGATACTTTCATCCCTTAATTCTGGTGTGATTCCAACTCTGATCTCAGAGGTGAGAGACACCCAACATAATCTACAACAGTCCGCTGCTTGCACGTTATTTCTGTAAATGTGCCATTTCCTGTGAGCTTTGGAAACAAAGTTATGTATAAGCATTTGCTGATTAGAGTTATTTTACATTTATTGTGCTTTAAAGACCGAATATCCATCCTGTTCTGTTCCATTGAAACTGCAGAAAATTGTTCCTGTTGCCTATGACCGAGCAGTCTTTCACAATCAATGTTTTACTTTCATTTCTTCCCCACCCCCCCCACCACCCAAACCTTTCTAGTATTGACATACGGCACATGTATGGTTTTGTTGGCTTATCATTAAGTGGAAAATCAATCCAGGCGGCATCTATTCTCCTGGACGAGGATGTAGAGACGCCCAAGAGTGCTGAAGCGGCAATGCAGCGTCTCAAAGCGGCCAACATACCCGAGGTTAACACAGTGGGATTCATGTTTGCGTGCATCGGGCGAGGTCAGAACTATTACTCCAGCAAGGAAAACGTGGAAGCAGACGCCTTCAGGAAGCAGTTTCCCAGCGTTCCATTATTCGGTTTCTTTGGAAATGGAGAAATTGGCTGTGATCGCATTGTGACTGAAAACTTCTCGCTGAGGGAGTGTAGCAACTCTTCAGATTGTGATGAGTTGCTTCATGGATACACTACGGTGATTGCGCTTGTCCATCTGGGACCTGTAAAATAAAAACCAAAAAATCTCTTCAAGAGGCTCGAACATTGGGCCCATGGTATGCAAAGATGCACATCTGTTGTGAGATTGTCTCCGTCATTTTGAAGATATTTGCACAAAATTGTTCTAATGGACCAAGCAAATTTGTAGAGTGGGTTCAAATAATTCGGACTCTAATGGCACAGTATAGGGTCAAGTCACACCTGCTGTAGAGGTGTGTCACCATTTCTGAATGGGAGGGGTCTGATTCAAAATAAACAGGCTCATGTTTGAGCTAAGTGATCTACTGAAACAATTCTCTTGTGTCTCAATAGAACAGGAGGTAAAACTAAGCTTTCGGATGTCGTCAGTTTAATTGATTCATAGTTTTTGACATGGTTCTGATTTTGCTCTTTATTACACTGGAATGCAGAACTAATCATGAATAAACAAGCAATATTTCTGGTGATCCTTCCCATGTAATTTTTAAAATTTTGTGATTTTTTTTGTGACTTAAACCAAAGGTTTCTGCAGGATTTTAACTGCTGTGACTAGGAAAATCTCGAACTTTCTGAACCGTTCCACTAAATCTGCTGGTTGAGTCTCTCTTGTGATTATTGTTAATGCTTTGGTAAAAAGTAATAATGGTGAATGCGGGAAATGTGCACATATCAACAAAGAGATTTGTAAAGAAAAGAGACACCTGCATCTGTAAGCACCTTTCACAAACTTGGGCCACCCAGAAATGTTTAATGGCCAACAAGATACATTTGCAGTGTGGTCAATGTTGGAAACAGGATAATAGTCATGCAGTGCTCCAGTTATGTTGGCTGAGGGTTAAACCTTGGCTGTGGTACAAGGGAAACTACTCTTTGAATGCTGCCATGGGATCTTTTGTATCTACCTGAGAGGCACGTGTTGTCTCAGCTATAACATCCTTTAGGAAAGATGACAGTGTATGCAGCATTATGCTCGAGTGACAACCTTGATTTTATGCTCCACTCTCTGCAGTGAAGCTTGAGCCCATGTCTTTCTGACTTAGAAGTGGGAGTGCTACACGTTGAATAGGATAGAGAAAAAGGCGTTTGGTACACTTACCTTTATTAGTCAGTGCATTGAGTGTAGGAGTTGGGAGGTCATGTTACAGCTGTACAGAACATTGGTTAGGCCACTTTTGGAATACTGCATGCAATTCTGGTCTCTCTGCTATAGGAAGGATGTGGTGAAACTTGAAGGGGTTCAGAAAAGATTTACAAGGGTGTTGCCAGGGTTTAAGTGTTTGTGCTATAGCGAGAAGTTGAATAGGCAGGGACTATTTTTCCTGGAGCATCGGAGGCTGAGTGGTGACCTTTATAGAGGTTAATAAAATCATGAGGGGCTTGGATAGAGTGAATAGCTAAGGTCTTTTCCCCAGGGTGGGGGAGTCCAAAACTAGACGGCATAGGTTAAGGTGAGAGGAGAAAGATTTAAAAGAGACCTAAGGGGCAACTTTTTCACGCAGAGGGTGGTGTGTGTATGGAACAAACTGCCAGAGGAAGTGGTGGAGGCTGGTACAATTACAACATTTAAAAGGCATCTGGATGCATATATGGATAGGAAGGGTTTAGAGGGATATGGGCCAAATGCTGGCAAATGAGACTGGATTAATTTAGGATATTTGGTCAGCATGGACGAGTTGGACTGAAGGGTCTGTTTCCATGCTGTACAATTCTATGACTGTATAACTGTACTAACACTATCTCAATGTAAATTCTGGAAAATGCCCAGAAGTATATTTGCATATTTTGCCCTTCCCTGGAATGGGCCTAGAATAGAGTGTTTTTGAGTTCTCTCTGAGCTGTCATTGGTGAAGTAAATAAACGAAGTGACTAATGTCGGCAGCATCAAACAAAACGTAACATATCAAGTGTGATTTATTGCCCCTACAGCGCCTCTCTCCAAACACTATTCGAGGTCTGGCAATGAGGACAGGTTCTGTGGAAAGAGACCGAGTGGGATCAGGAGGAAGAACAACTGCAGTGGAACTTACAAACAGTCAAGTCATATAACCTGGAGCTGGGGAATTTATCATTTTTTAAAAATCTGCAATGACCTGATTTTTTAAAAATGAAAATGTACAAACATTCTTCCCCATTCTGCCTGTCCCCTCCAAGCTGAAAATTTTAAAATGAACTAATTCTACCAGCCCTTTTTATGGTTGTGTAGCAGGACACTCTCAGGAGGACAGAAAAAGTGCTTTAGCGACGTTATGGGAATCCCTGAGAAGTTTGAACATTCCCACAGTCTCCTGTCAGTCCCTGTGTTACGACTGACCAAAAGTGAGGGCTGTTCTTTCGTGGAATTTGCGTGTCACTTACAAGGGCAATGTTTGTTATTTATCAGTAATTGTCCTTGAACTGAGTGGTTTACTTAAATGCTTAAGAGGGCAGTTAAGAATCGGTCACGTTCCTGATTCTGAAATTGCATGTAGGAAAGGATGACAGATTTTTTTCTTCTGAAGGGCATTAGTGAATCAGATGGGTTTTTACAACAATTGGATAATTTTGTGGTCACCATTGCAGATCAGCTTTTAATTTCAGATTTAATAATTGACTCTCGATTCCACCAGCTGCCATATTGGGAGTTGTCCCCATAGTATCAGCCTGGCCCTCTGGATTAATGCTCGGAGTCATACAGCACGGAAACACCGTCTAGTCCAATTTGTCCAGGTTGACCAAGTTCCCAAATTAAACTAGTCCCATTTACCTGTGTTTGGCCCATGTCCCTCTAAAACTTTCCTATTCACATACCTGTCCAAATGTCTTTTAAATGTTGTGATCGTACCTGCATGTACCACTTACTCGGGCAGTTCATTCAACATACTAATCACCCCCTGTGTGAAAATGTTGCTCCTCAGGTCCCTTTTAAATCTTTCTCCTCTCAAGTGACATTACATACACTACCTTCTCAGGAGCAAATTTGAGGTGTCAGGGAGAGCACACAGACCTCTAAGCTCCCTATACGTCCAATCCTTTAAATGCTACCTGTCCTGTAAGTAACAGAGTCTGCCAATCTCCCACACAATTTATCAGTTGACTTAGTGTCCACTGAAAATGAAATGGAGGCAAATCATTTTCAAACCTGTGGAATTGTCCAATAAGAGGTACATGGATGTGCTTGGGATCACAAACCGTCCACAATTGCCTGAAAATCTCCAGGAATTGAAGATCAATCCCATGGACACAGTGCTTGCTTGGGTGGATGTAACAAGTCCCATAACACTTAATGAAATGGGGAATTATCCCCAGTTCCTGGCCAATATTTAGACCTCAAATAGCATTACTTAAAACAGGTTATTATCACGTTGGTCTTTGTAGGATTTGCTGAACGAATATTACCTGCTGTGTCTAACGTTACAACAGAGACTACACTTAAAAAAAAAAAGTACTTTAATGGCTGTAAAGCACTTTGAGATGTACTTTGGTCATGGAAAGTACTACATAAATGTATAACTATATATAATTGAGTTCTTCAATTAACCTGGTAGAAATATTGTAGAAACTTAAGAGCACAGAAGGGACGATTCAGCCCCTTGTGCTGGTGCTGACTTTTTGGAAGGAATATTTCTTAGTTTCTATATCCCTGTTTGTGGCCATCCTCGAGTGCCTGTCCAACTTCCTCCAAAATGTATTAATGACATCAGCTTCCACCACCACTTCAGACAGAGATCCTGAAAAATCTGAGTGAAACAAATTTTAGTCTCCCTTGTAGAGCAACCTTCCCGAGTCAGTGCCACACACAGACATCCTTTGGGTCAAGGAGTGGGAAGCATAGGAAGTTACTAACCAATTCTTTGCAAGAAACGCATCAATCAGATGGTGGGGTTTGAACAACCATGGTGAGAGTGATCCTTGGTAAACAGATTCAGGACAAGCCAGGGTCCCCACATAGCCTGCCTCCTCCATTGGGACTTCAGGACAAATGTCTATTCATTTGTAAAGAGACAAATACAATGCCGCACGTTGTAGAGGAATGCCCCCCCGCCCCCCCACACAGAATAAATGGCAAACTAATCACACTAAATTTAGCAAATGAGGAGACTATCGCTTGTCTTCAGAGATTTGTATATTCGTTAAATAAATAAATCTCTTCAATCTTTTCCACATAATTTCGTATTTACAGCTGCTGGATATTAAGGAAGGCGTTGCAAATGTATTCTTTTTCATTTTCTTGGGATACTTTCAATTTATTAATTATGAAGATGGCAGGGGAAAATCTCTGATGAGGCCAGACCATTGGAGTTGGGAGGTCGCATGACAAAGCCTCCAGGCATTAGTCAAACTAGAGGTGGCAACTGATGTTAGTCCCATTGTCGCTAACAATTTCTAATCTTAGCCTGCAGTCCCTGTGTGAGTGAGGATACTGCGTGATGGGATAACTGCAGCTTTGTAGCAGGTGTGACCTGTTTGTTGTTAGATCAGAGATCATTATCTGAATTGGAAGCACTTTTGTTACTATAATTAAAATGGCTAATTACACTCATTAACTTTCTTTTTATAATAGAGGAACAGTTTAAAATAAATGTATGTAAATAGATCACATTATTAGTGTCTTTTTCTCTGTTTAGAACTGTATGCTGATAGCAACACTGATTTTGGCTGTAACTCCTAAGTTCCTCATCCTCAAGTACTCGTCCAACTCTTCAAAATTTATTAATGATTTCGGCGTCCACCACATCAAATCAAGCTCCTGACAATTCTGACTGAAAAATATTCCAGTCTCCCTTCTTGGTGACTATTACTTATAAGGTTGCAAAGTTAGGCTTTTTTCAAAAACTCATTTGGGGGATGTGGGCATCACTGGCTGGCCAGCATTTATCACTTTCCACTCTTGCCCTTAAAGAAACTTTGTAGTGATTAGTACAACTGAATGGCTTGCATGGCTATTTCAGAGGGCAATTGAGAGTCAATTACATTGCTGTGGGTCTGGAGTCATATGTAGGCCAGACCAGGTAATGATGGCAGCTTCCTTTCCCTGAAGGGCATTAGTGAACCAGACGGGTTCTTTTTCTGACAATCGTTTCATGGTCATCCAGGTATTTTTTATTGAATTCATGTTTGGCGTGCCCCGGGTACCCAGACATTAGTTGAGTTTCTGGATGAATAGTCTGGCAATAATACCACTAGGTCAACCATACTGGTTGAATTCTGTTATCTTTCTGATAACTCCAACAATTTGCAAGTGGGAAAAGGAACACATAGCACCCTACAATGCGAAAGTAGTCTTTGCAAGTAGTCTTTGGGTAAAGCTTGATTGTCAGATCGCATTATTCAGGGTTAGTGTGTCCCCAACTTTAGATCATATATTCTGTTGTTTTTTTAAAAATAATTTACATCATCGATAGTCAAAGGAAGATGTTTAATTTGAAAAGGGTGCAGAAAAGATTTACAAGGTTGTTGCTGGAGTTGGAGGGTTTGAGCGATATGGATG